ATCTAAAAAAAAACAAACAAACAACACCAGTTTTTAGCTCCTTCAGTTGTCTTCTGAAACAACTGCCTCTATTATGGTGGCTCTGCTTATGGGCAAGACTAGGCATTCTGGCAGAATAAGAGAAACACGTGAAAAAGAACTGAATATGCTTCCTCTGTATCTCTCCTCACTGTAACAGGCATATGTCTCCAGTATGATCTGGGGAGGTGTTTGGACACAAGTGTTGCCAGCTGGATGGACAGCTAGCGAGAAGAAGAAATACCTGTTTTGCTCTCTGAATTGACAGAGCTATTCATGCAGGGCACAGACCTGACATCAGTGATCCAAGTGTAATATAAGTTAAAAAATAAATTTATGAAGTCCTTTGAACAATATATGGCACATCAAAAAGTGGTCATACAGTAAGCATTTGCTTACAAAACAACTAGCACACAGAAGCTCCACTCCTGGGAAAACTATGTTTTGTCAAGAGTCATGGATTCCACAGTACAAAACCTTTGAAAAACTCTAGTGAAAGAGAACTGGGCTCTATCTCGTCATAGCGTATTAACAATAAACAGCTTTGACAGTGAATGATGATCTGGGAAATCTTTCTACAATAAGATCCTTATACTCCAGTCTCTGAAAACATCAAGGTCAGAATTTGATAAAAAGTGTACTATCAGATTTATTCTTATTTTCCTGATTGTTTCATGTCAATGAAAAATGTCCAAAATAAAGAATAAGGAATATCCCATCCTATGCAAAGTCTATCAGTATTTTGTATTAATGTGCATGCATTATCAAAGTTTTCCTTGAAATGCACATTTCTGACCAAGGGACCAGACTGGATATATACATGAAAAGCAAAGGAAGACACTGTCAGGTTTAGTATTACATGGAAGCTTAGAACTGCAATTTTAGAGATTTACCTGAAAAAAAATAGGACTAGCTAAAGTCACTGAGATAAAGACAGTAGGTTGTAAAGCCCACAGATACCTCCATCACAACATCCATCTTTTTTACCTTATTCACATAAACTCACGGGCTTCTTCAAGTAAAAGGTCTCTCCACCACAGAGCCTTCTCTTAAAGCTCTTTCAAGTACTGCACAATTGTATCAAATAGGTAACTGCATAATACACTGACAGAGCACCCTGAGGATGCCTTTTTGCACTCCAAGCTCTCTCCAGGGAGCTCCTTCCTTGTGAGGGATAGAAACTGAAGTCCACAGCTTTACTCACATTGCACTTCTGCACTTCACACCAATTGCTAGAACAAATAGAAAATTGGATCCACATCACCTGCTTCAGTGGAGGAAGAACTGGCACATTAGCTGGTGTAAAGAGTCAGCTCATGTCACAGGCTATCTCTTTGTGGCCTTTTTCTCCTTCCTTGCTAGAACATGAACAATTCCATCTAAAGTCAACGTGGAATTATTCCTTTGCTACATTAAAAGAATAAAGACTTGAATAATGAAATACAGAATCCTAGATTCATTTCTATAATCACTCCCTGTAATTGCAAAAGCAGGAACGTAATGCTGCTCCGGATTTCATCAGGTTGGTGAAGGACCATCACCAATCTCTAAAATGCATCAACACATTTATCCACGTGACAGTTTTTAATTATGCCACTCTAACCTAGTAGGGCTCAAAGTGTCTCAACAGACACTGATAATCCGACCAGCTTTCACTCATTCACACTGTACATGGTGGGCTGCAGGCCAGGCCAGCACAATGCCCTCAGTTAAAGCAGTCATGGCAACAATGACAACTCCTGATGTGTTAGCTTAACCTGTCATCTTCGCATCAAACAGCTTCAATGTACAATAAAGTAGAAAAAAACTTTTAGTGTACCTGTAAGACAATATTGCCCCTAATTCCTTTTTCATTACCTCTTAAGAATGAAGAACTTTTGTGTTCATCACTATTCAGACTTGTCTATGACGTCTACATATCCAAAACAGAAATGCACAGGCATGCAAGGCGCAGGATTTGCATAGTACAAGATCTGCAGGTACTGCCCTCTAGAAACACAGATTGCTGCAAGTGGCAAGGCAGACAAGCCAGGGGTGGTCCACAATGGCCATGAGGCTGTCTTCCAGTGACACCACATTTACAAAGACAGGTCTTGCTAAGCAGAGAAGTGGCACTCTGTTAATCACCTTTCAATACACCACCTTTGAAGGAAAAAACTCATTATTTCACGCTGATTACTACACAGTAGTTTTGGACAAATACCTACCGTGGTGGGAAGAGGAAACAGTAGGGACAGCTGAGTAGTGCTATGAGAGAAATTCAATTTTTGTTGTGACCAGAGTCTTCACCCTCAAGCACACATTCCTCTTTAAATATTAGCCTTTTATCAAGTTATCTAGAAATGGATATCACTGAAAGGGAGGGAAGGAAGGAGACACGCCTGATGTGTAGAATGGTATTGCCCAGTGAGCATAAAAGAAACACACATCAGGCATTTCCCATTCTCTTCCATCCAGTGATATGCATGAATCCTACTACTCCACCAGCACTGAGAACAAATCAAATTAGCCAATAGCTACTGGTTGAACACTGCACGAGTGTGGCATGGAACCCAGTAAGGAAGAGTTTCAAATTAAAATCCACTATCACGCTCATGTGTAGGCTCATGAGCAACAGAGAGACCCGTCCCTGGATCACTCTGACAGGTGGATTTCATCTGCATGAGCGAAGTGATGGGTGTGTGCTCTGTAATGAACATGGGAACAGTGATGTGATGGCAGGGAACCATCACCAGTCCTGTGCTAAAGGAAAAAAAACCTATGTTTCCCCCACTTTCTGTCTGTGCTACATGTGTGAAAACATACAGTTTGATTCTCCATACACTCACATTAATTTTATGCAGCTGTTACTGTATTTTCAGAGAAGAAACTCCTGATTTATATTCATTATAGGTAGGAGGAAGATTAAGAACAGAATACCTCAAGTGAAATAGGTATTCAAAGAGCTTAGTAAATAATTTGCTATGAATAATTCATTTGAAAAAAATTATATTTTCCCCTAGTCCTGAACAGCCCACAAATAGAGTGTGAATGTTTAACATTTATATGTTACTTGTAATTATTTGTGAACTACAGCAAGTAATCTGTGGTTTACACATAACTCAAATAGGAAATTATGATTATTAAATAAAACATAAAATTTACAACTCCCACAGCAAATTATATCTTTTGACTAATTTATGTAATGATCTTAGCTAGTCTGCCCTTCATGAATTTCAAACTGCATGTTCAATATCTGCAATTATCTGTGCAGGCAGCAGTTACATAAGTCATCTGACCAGTAGCAGTCACACCACCATGTGAGATGCAGTCAACATAGAAAAACCAGCACACTGTACAGTTTCAAACAGTTCAGAAAATACTGAAGCATGCAGTTGAAAATTACAGCTGAATCTTTTCCCTTCAAAAGCACATGGGTAGGAAGCTTTTCCCCTCTTCACTCAGCACTAGTGTCTATTGACGTACATGGATGAGGTGGTAGGAACGTGAGGTGTTGCTTATTCTTTCTGTTTGTCCAGAACATTAAGTTTGTTTCTTAATGTTTTTTAATGGGTGAGCAGCACTGACGTGTTGCTTGAGGTTTGTCACTGGGGCTGGAGAGGGAATGGGGTGCAGCAGGAGAACAAGCAGCTTAGCACATGTGAAAGAAAGGCTTGGGAAAGGCATGGATATTGGCAGCCAGTCGAGACAGCTTGAAAGAAGATTTGGTCCGATTTTCAGGTTGGGTAAGATTCTCCCTTTTTTGAAATATGTTTGAAAGTAGGAGGTGAAAAGTAAATGCTGTTAATCCCATTGGCTTCATGTTAGTTGCTGACCCCAACTTAGACCACACTGTAGCCTCACTGAAACATAGGGGATCTTTGTCTTCAGCTGGGCTGGAACCAGGATTTCATACTTGATCTTAACAGTAATGTATTTTCTTTTATTTATTTTGTTATTATTAAACTGTCTTACTAGGCCCTCCTCCTTCTAAATGTAAATGCTTATTTAGATGTCTTGGACCTATTATTCCTATGTATTTTTATCTCGCCAGCTAACCAAACCTGATATAAACCCGTTTCAACCCTTATTTGTGAGAACATGGGTGAAATCTGTGCAGTGGAGTACTGGTTGCTCCGTGATCCATTTCCTCTCCCCAGCTCACATCCACCCTATCGCTGTAAGACACCATGGACCACAGCCCCCTAGTTTTCAAGTTGTTCTTATGGTTTGAATAAAATTGGCAAGTCTACCATAGGAAAAAGACAATTCTGTTTGCCTCTGAAGACACCACAATGGTAAATATTGCCAATTTTAACACAGAACTAGTTTCACTCAAAAATTGAATGAAAAGCAAATGATGATGTTCTCTCTGGTAATCAAAAACTTTCCTACTTGACTGAGTGTGTCTGATACCAAGAAAACAAAAATACTGGTAAGTTTGAAGGCAGTACTGAAATGCATAATGCTAAAAACATAAACTTTTTTTTTTTCCTAAATAAGAAGGTGCTTTAGTACAAGTACTTTAATGAAGCTGCTTTAATGAAGGAATGATTGCCTTTAAGTGATGATATTTGAAAAAAAGATATTACAAGCAACTTCTTATTCAGAAATTAGCAGCCAAGATCAATAAATGAAACATAACATGTAGGCAGATACTGATGTGGATAATGTATGCATAATACTGCTATAAAGGGTTGAATTTGGTGAAAAAGCTGATGAAATAGAATAGGTGATGCTAATTCTATTGAGGCTGACTTCAAGTAGCTAGTGTTCAACCAGTTTGGTTTTTATATGGCCTCGAAAGATATGCCAACTATAGCTGCTAAATCCATATTGCAATTAGAAACTGTTACCTTTGTTGATCAACAAAATATGAAATGGAAGAAAAGAAAAATAACATACCATGTTCACACACAAAACAAAAAGAGCTATATCAGGGACATCAGGGAAGGTGGAATACTATAACAACACATTTTATATTGTTATACTATTCCACCCACCTTAATGGAGAACCCTTCGGTGTGGCTACGCCATATCCTTTCGAATCCAGATTTCCTCCCACTTTCATGGTGTCACAAGGCTTTCGTTGCTCAATGTATTCATTCATGGTAGACTCCAGCAGGAAGGCAAACTTGCCCTTGGATTTGCGGACACGAGCTACTCCCTCTGCAGTAGTCCTAGTGAACACTGATGGTTCTGCTGATTTCATGTAGGTCCACATCTTTTCATACACTGCTATTTTTGATCTCTGGAGAAAATCAAAAAGAAGTTAGAACAAAAGAATGTTGCGACATTTCAGAGTGGCACTATTCAAAATAAAATCAATAGAATTTAATTTTTCAAACAAGTGGGGTTGGGAAAATCTGACTTGGATAAGGATTTTTTTTTTTAATTTCATTACTATTAAAAAAAAAGAAAAAATATAAATACTATAAAATCACATAACAGTTGGTCTTCATCAGTTACAATAAAATAACTATATAGCTAAGGCCTGAATTTATTGTTAGGTTAAGGCAGTTCATGTAGTCAGTGTTATAAAGTGTGTTTTAGGGAATTATATGCAAAATATATATACATAACAAAGTTGGGAAAGAGAAAAAATAAAATAATCCCCCATAAATACTGAGATAAATCTGGAGACAGTTCTTAGCTCTAACACCTGCTTCTTACAGCATTAAAAGTACAATAGCTTAAATAAGATTTCTGCTTATTTGGTAATTCAGAGTCCAGAATTGATTCAACTTACATTCAGAAAGTCTGCACAACATTTCAAGACATGGGTCACGATAAAAGATGTAAACATCAAACTTGACGAAATACGCTATTAAAGGAAACATAATTCTGGGAGTATTTTGTCTTAAATAAATATTAGTTACGTTTTTAGAACTGCAGTATCAGTGGGTTTATTTCAAAGACTGATCTTGCAAGTAATTGGGTAAGAAATATGATTGCTCAAAGAATGTGCAAGAATTCATGGCTTAGCTGGAGATTTGGCTGGCTTGGAAGGTGTGGTGGAATCACAAATAAAGACTTTAGCAAAAATAAAATTTAAACAAAAAAATAAAACATATATTAAAAAAAAAAAGGAAGGGAAGAATTTGAAATTGGAAACCTCAGTGGCAAGACTACTGTCATGATGAGAAGCTTCCTATACTTGTTACATTAATTCAGCAACTCCTTTGCTTCATCCAGCAACAGCGATATGTATATGCAAAGCAGCAATGTGTCAGCTGAACATTATCTAGTGTTTTTATTTAATGAGAGATGGCATTTGTCTTCTTTTATGCACGGTGTAAAAAAGACTGTTTCTACACATGACTCAAGTCAGCTTTTCTCTGAGTCAACAAAAATTTCAAGCAAAGTAAGGACTGATATGTGAGCCCATTCCTATGCTATGCTGAGCACATCAGGTAAATATTAATTATTATAAGGCCCCCAAAAAAAGGATTTTGGAATATTTAAACAAATATAAAGTCTTATCATCTAGGTGTTATTTAAATTTAGAGTGGCTTAAAAAAGCCTGGAACCAAGCCTTTGCATAGGTAAGAGTAATTTCCCTGAGGCACTTCCTTTTAGCAATTAATGACTGATTGTATTATTACTCAGAAACTGGTTTGTTACTGAAGTACATCCAACTTGAATGTAAGAGAGAGTTAAACAGAATTGTTCAATACAAATACCACACAAATTATCCTTTCTTTTTTATAGCTTGTCTATGTGCATCATTTTATCTGTCAAACACAATAAAACTTAAATGAATAATAGTTGTGTATGTCCATAATTACATCCTGACTTGTCACCCTCTCTTTCAACTGCAGACACATCTACTTTTCATTTACATAATAGTGACTAAGAGCAGAGCCTATGCCAAGAAAGCCATGTGTTCCTTTTGCTTTATACTACTATAATTTCATGGATTTAGACTTACAGGAAGAAAAAAATGGAAGAGAACAGTAAGGAATCAGGCTTAATTTCAAGAGTATTTACTTGCCTTTGTCTACCTTCACTTTCAATCACTTACACCTTAAAATTCTTATAATGAGATAAACATATAATAGGTCACTATCCTTCAAAACTAAAAACATGCTACACATAAAATAACAGTATTAGGAGTAAGAAATTAAACCCTAAACCAATTAAAAGTTGCATTTAAATTATTTTTTTTTCAGGATTTAGTTTCCTTTGCTTATTAAGAGACAAAAAATATGGAAAGTCTAACAAGTCATCTGCTCTGTGAGAATGTTCTCCCAAGATTTCATTTGTTAACATTCAATGTATACATGTCAACTCAGAGTGAAAACTGAAGAGCAAACCAACAGATATTCCTTATTATCATACTGAGAAAACTTTGTAGCTTTCCCCTGCAGTCAGTCAGGCCAGAATGATTTTCTTTTAGGGCTTTTTCTGAGTTAGACTGCTAAAGCTAAGCTTTTTCCTCTTGAAGAAGCTGTTTTGAAAAGGCAGCTTGTTCAAGCTGCTTTTTTCAACTCTTGCTGTTTCCAAGACATAAAGTAAGAGTAAACAGCCGGTAGAATCAAAGTCTTATTTTTCTTAATGATGTCTTTAAAATGACTTTTTCTTGTTCTGTTTTCAGTCTGGATTTAAAGCCGAATGAATAGCTGTTCTGATTTTCTGACATTTTGATCAGAAATGATCAAACGATAAGAAAATGTCCTGAAGGATCAGACTCATCCAGACAGTAATCACTAATGGGAAAGTTACCCATGACTCTAATTCTAAAACTGATGATGCTTGCTTCCAAACAAACCAAAGAAATAATAAAAAAAAAAAAAGAAAAAAAAAAAGAAAAAAATCTGTTGGAATTGGGAAACCTGTTAGAATTGGGAAACAAGCCTTCTTGTACTATTGTTTGAGGCGAAGTCTGAATTTATACATTATGCAGTTTTGTCCATCAGTGATATTTTATCTTTGTCCCTGTTTTGTGTAAAACATTTTTTAGAAATACCGCATACAATAGCATTAGCAATTACTGTACTTCTGCAGTGATTGGAAACCAGTTGATAACAGGGCTTCAGTTATGCCATAAAAAAAAAAAAATCATAAATCTAAAACTCAATAAAGCATCATATTCTGCATCTGCAACTTGGGAGTGTTTGGGGTTACTTTTAATGTTTCCTTTTACATTTTGAAAAAAAAGGCAAAAATATAAACATTGGTTTTACTTTCTCTTAACACTATAAGATTGTAGTGAATTAATGTCTGTCATAGATGGACAAAGAATATTTTTCTTTTTAAGGAGACATCTTGACAATTATATGAAATATTGATTCATACAAAAAAGTAGCTGTTTACAGGATTAAAAAGAATCATGATTTTTTTTTTTTTTTGACCAAGACAATTTATATATCAAAAGACCTAACCTCTTTACTTCAAAACAATGGCTTGTAAAAAATTTTTGACACTCTTAAGAAAACAAATTCATTTTTTTGCTCTGTTGTACTTCCCTGGGAATTCATTTTTGCACCATCACATTAAAACCTGCAAGTACTGGATACCCTTGAAAATGCAAGAAGTTAAAACATCAAAAATTAAACAAACCTGCTTGGTTCCCAGTGTCATGGTTTTAACTATCATCACAGCTTCATTCTGGTGGAAAGAACTATTTAACTGCATATGCTGTGATTACTGTCTCAACTTGTGATATACTAAAATTGAAGTTCCCAGAATTAAATACCTGTATTTGCACAAATTGAGCTAAAGAAGAATCTATTGTCTAAGCATAGATGTAGAAAAATAATACAGAATACTTTGGCAGGCATATGATGTGAAATCAAGGCTTTGAGGGACCAAAAGCTAAGTTCCTACTACCTGAGTAAAAAAAAACAATGCTCTGAGAAAGCATCTATAACTTCATATTTAGGTGTATAGCAACACACTGGCTATAGAAGAAGACAGGTGTAGACATCTGTCACTGAAACACATCCTTTAAAAATGAAGTACCAAGCATCCTAGACATTTATGTGGAATTCTTCTAGAATTGATGTAAAGAGGAATATACTCTAAAGGGTGACTTATTTAATCATAATACATTTGTCCCATACAGGATATGTTAGGGTGCTTTTCTTTCTGCAATGTCTACAGAAAAAATCTAGAAAACTAACTTAGATTAAACTCCCTGGGCAGCTTCATTATGTGAAGGCTGAACTATTGTGTGTTCATTAAATGCCATTTGTGTCTTATAAGACATCATCATTTTATAGCTAAATGTATGCAAGAAAATATCTTCAAGTTCCCTCTGGGGCTATCACTTGCAATAAAATAGTTATTTCACTACAGACCTTTTGAGGGACACTCAGCAGCTGCCCTGGAATTGGTACTGCCTGTAGTTCACAAATTCCATTCATAATTTGGTTAATGACTGAGTGACTTCAGTTTGGCCAAGCTGAAAACAGTCAAGCTATGTGGGACACAGAACAGTTCCCTTTCAGTAAGACAATCAGAAATTATCGCCCCATCTTCCTTTCCTCTAAAAATGACCTAACCTCTAGCTTTCAGATAAATAATAGTCCTGAACACTTTAGTTTCCAAGGAAGAATAACTGGCTTACAACATTTATTCAGAGCCATGTTCAAACACACCTTCAGTCACCTAAGCTTAACTTTCATCTGCTAGAGATATGAAATAAAGCAGGATGGGTTCACAGAATCACAGAATTTCTAGGTTGGAAGAGACCTCAAGATCATCGAGTCCAGCCTCTGACCTAACACTAACAGTTCCCACTAAACCATATCCCTAAGCTAAGTTTGTTTATGATGTACTCTTTGTGATGTCCAGGCTTCCTGTTTTCCAGCTGGCAAAGGAAGGATTACATATAACCACACAAGCACAGGAAAGCAAATGAAAATGAAGTGATCAATAGAGACAGCACAGACATATAAATGCTTATTTAGGCTATTTCCTAATGCTACAACCACATTCCCCCAAGACATATTTTTTCTTTATTATTCATCTGAAAGTCAGCAAATTAAAAAATGCATTTCCTATCCACCACTCAAGACCCTAAAGCAAAATGCACACAGCCAAATCCATAAGTAGAAGCAAAACCTGCAAGACTGCATGTTATCATCATAGAGTTTCAATGCTGCACATCATTTCAGTGCTGTAGCTTCAAATGAATCAATAGTGCAATGCTGCTTTAATTATCACTGGCTCCAGTATCCCTTGGGGCAGCTCTTTTCCCCATAGTGACAGGATCAATAAGCTTTCCACAAATTAAAATAACTGGAAACTCCAACAAATGGTGTCAGGGGGTAAAAATGTAGATAAAGTATTGCAGGAGTTACAAGGCATATTATATATGATTGCAAAATAACATTTCACCCTTCCAAACATCTTATCAGAGTGGTCAGTAGGGAGAGCTGTTCTAATGGATATGTCAACTTACTCTGAAGAACTCTTTGGTTGACCCTGAGTCCAGTGTCCCGTAAGCAATTTCAGTTTGTTTGGCAAGGTCTTCTGCACTTTCTATGGGTGAGACCATTCGTTCAACAGTCAAGAAAGCAGCGAGGTTAGCAGTATAGGATGAAATAATGATGAGTGTGAAGAACCACCAGACACCTCCAACAATGCGACCTGAGAGGGATCTAAACATGAATAAGATAATGCACATTTTCCTGTCTCTTAAGCCACAAAGAGAGAAAGAGAGAAGGCAATGTTATTACAGAACACGTCATTACGTAACAATTAATGGGAGGGAGATTATTTGCTTTTTGAATTCTAATATATGCGTTTTCTCTTGAATCTTAATGCCTATGGTACAGAGTCCACTGTACTAACACATCACACATATACAGAAGTATGAATTCTGTTGAACAGTAATCCCAATGTTCTTATTATTTCAGAAAATGCTTAACATGGAAAAAATTTTGTCAAAAATCCTCGGTAGATAATCACTTTTGGGAGACAAAAGTAAAGCATGGTAGTTGCAAATTAGTAGCTTTCTATGTTCTGTCGCTTAAAAAAAAAGAAAAAAAAACAAAGCCTTAGCACATAGGTTATATTGGTTCTGGGATTAAAACGTTCCTGTCACCCATACAGCATATGTTCAGTTATCACAAACTTATCAAACATCCTACAAGCTACTATAAAAATTTGACTTTTTCACTTTTTTGTTATTTAAGAAGCAAGTATTTTTAGTGGAAACATATTTATGTTAAGTAAAAAATATATTTTCCATTTTAACACTGGTAATTTGATGAGAAGGTTGTTGAAGAGTAACATATTAATCTAGAATTGATCAATTAATCAGCAGCAATTTTATTGCTAACTTCAATAACAGCAGAGTTAAGCCAATGCTGAATGCTGTCAAAATCTCACTGTTAATACAAGTTTGAAAGATTGGGTCATAATGTCAAAATAAGAAGTTGTAGTTACTGCACACTAAAGTTCCAGAACACCTAAAAAGGTTGAGAAATTCAGGACTGGGATCACATATTACATCTCAGGTAACCCACTCTGTAAGGTCTAGTTTGGCAATACAACGTGGCTTCTCAGAAACAGATGATCAAATATTGTCTCTCTTGTAGACAGTGATATCCTGGAAGCAGTGCTACAGATCTTAATAGGGAACAGAAATGGGACATTTATTCATGCAAGGCAAATACTCAGCATAATAGTGTGCATTTCATAATTGCAATACAATGGAATTAATTTAGCAACAACACAATTCCTCTGTAGTCAACTCAGTGGAATTGCCCCTGTGTGTACCTGCTGTTTCTGAGAGCTGTTTGTGATTTATGCACTTTGACATATGTAAAATAATAATGTCTGAAAATCAAAGCAGATTCTCTGTTGCCCTTATCACAGCTATTAAAAGAGAAAAATGAAAAGACTTCCTAAAGAATGAACCTCAAAACACTGCCAGGAAAATAAAAAGGAAGATTTTATGCTTCAGTGTTGAAGATAAAATGCAAATGTAAAAAGATTTGACACAAACCTTGGGGAAATATCACATCCTTGTTGCATAAAGGCACCCAGGGAAAACCAGAGGCTGTTGAATATGCCAAACTCATTGGGAGGCTGGTCACTGGGTCCTTCTTTCCCATCCTCTGGTTCTTCTGTGTGCCACTCATATGGGCTAAACCTGCTAACTAGGAACAGGACCACACTGACACCAATGTAGGCAAAGACTATGCACATCCAGATCTCATACGCCAAAGGGTCCAAGAAGGAAAACACTCCTGGTTTAGATTTCTGGGGCTTTTTGATCATAATGGATATCCCCAAACTCATAAAAGGCTTAGAAAAATCAATGACCTCTTCTCGTACCAAAGTGATGGTCAGAGGCGCAACAGCAATCTCTGCTTTCTATAAAGAAAAAAGAAATATAGATGTATATATTAATTGGAGATGACTTATATTCAGCTAAGCAGCTAATTCCAAAAGTATGTTATCAACATCAGGACACTGTGGCTTATGTTCTTTACACCATGTTTCTGTTTCTTTCTATTACAGTCAATATGCTTTTAGTAAGTCATATATACATTGCAGAGTTTTATTTTACAAAATTACAGAAATACTTTATTTTCCTGCTAAGGGGAAGACTCTGAGATCTTGCAGAGGTGAGCAGCAGTGTAGGTAGATAATTTTAGGAATTAATTTAAAATTATTGTAAAGGAATTGAAGTAAGAATGCAACACAAGAATGGCCTTATTGTCAATGAATGTATAGCGATTATTTTATAAGATCCCAGAAAAAGTTATTTATTATTGTATTTTCATAAGGTACAATCATTTTTATGGACAAAACAGCTCGTAGTAACAAGTAAATTTGAAATTCTGTGAAGCAGCAAAGGTGATTAATTAATATCACAATGCCATAAAACTACACAAAATATCTTGGGGGAAAGATAGTTCTGTAAGAATGAATCAATGAATCAAGTTTTAAACAGTGTAAAAAAGCAAGTATACAGAAAATAGATGTGCAAAATTATGCAAGTAAAGGATGGAAATTGTGTTGAATCCATTTCCATCAGAAAGAGAGAGAGTTTTTTTTCTCTAAACTTTTTTATAATGAAATGCCAGTCTTGAATGAATCATTACCAATGATGATGGTGATTAGGACTGCTAACAATGATGTCTACATTAACTATAAAGGTATTGCAGCTGTGCTAATGTGTAGGTTTTTGCTCAATCACTCCATATTACACCAAGGTTTACTCCTTGCCTTGCCTTGCCCTGCATGCTAAAGCTGTTATTATAGCAGTACATAAGCTGGGAATTGTAAGAACAACTGGGACAGAATATGCACTGGTAGGAGAGGAGCAGAGATGCAGAAGCTGTTGAAACCTTTCTCCTGTTCATTATCCCAAGAGGACTCACAAAGCAGAGCCCTGTCTCTCTGGCTACCCTGGACATCTTAGCTGATGGGCTAAAGAGTGTATTTTAAAAATACTTCATTTTTGTTGTAAATAAGGTGGACCCAAAACCTCCCTTCAGACCTCAATATATGAGATAATCTTCCTGTATATCCCCCCATCCCAGGCCCAGTTGTCTTCACAGGCACAAGGGAGCTATTCATAATATAACTGTCTTCTTTTCTTTTCTAAATACTCAGTTGGCCCAAATTCATCTTACTGAGCAGCATCCTCAGATACAGTACATATTCTACAGTTTATCAAATCATTTAAGCATGTTTGCCTTTTAGTAAGTTCTTAAGGATATTCATATTCAGTAAAATACACAAGGATATATTTAAATCCCATCAATTTCAATGAGATTAAAACATGCTGAAAATTAAGGACGTGCTTAAATAGTTTGTCTAATCCAAGTGTTACATAAATAGCTTGTATGATAAAGAAAAAAAGAAACTGCAGTATAAGATATTTGTCATCTCAAAACTTTAAAACAGATAAAAGCACTTAAAGTAATATATTCTTGTTATTTTATATACTGTTATACATATATATATATTTTATGGAATTTAATTTAATACTAATGTAATGTATTTTTTTTTTAATCTGTATTGGTAGCTGTATAATTTTGAATAATTCAAAAGAAATAACTCATTCCAATGCAATAGCCCCAAAATGCAAATTTATATTTAAATTATTAGATATTAATCATCAGGTTATATCTCTCATTCTGAAATAGTTGTGATGCAAACACTTATCATCATTTTATGTAAACTTATCACAATTTAAGCAATACAATTAAAATCACAATTTTGCAAGCGTATCAGACATTTCTGGTGCTAACAGCTTGGGTAAACATAATAATATCACTAATTCTCTCAATTTTAATGTAAATTCTGTAATATAGGGCATTTTAAAAAATCTTACTTCTTGATGTCTTATAATTTCATGAGTCTGACTGAAATAAATTATATGTTATCAGTAAAAAGTATGAAAAAGAAATAACATCTAAAATATATTTTAAAATGTTCTGACAGTTGCAAGTAGATTATGGTGCCTGTAGTCTAAGGACTGTATGATGGTTTGGTTTACTGGCACTGCAGCATATTTTTGTGTTTCATCTCACTAATCAGTTCCTTTTTCTAGAATAATGGTTTCTGTCCTTAAGAGTCAGTTATTTTATATCCCTAAATTTTAGTTGCTGTGAATGCCTAATGTGGAGTCCTTGAAATGAAATGGCTCAGGGAAACTGGGATCTACAACTGCTAATCTTTGCTGTATTTGTCACCTAGTGGTATCTTTATTAATGTTTGGTATAAATGTTCATCTTGGTTACTGGGCTTCAAAAGTGTTGGCTAAGACTTGATTTTGTGTACGTGTGTGTAGGTCTGCAGATTGTGACTGGCCTGAAAACAGGGATCCCTGAAGGTCATTAGTTTTTATGATGTAAGGTGGAAAAGTGACAGCACCATTTTGGTGGTAGCTGTGGAGATTAATTTAAAGACCTAATTAGCACTCTGCATGTTGTATGTGAAACACTGGATGAGCTGCATCTTACCACATTAAAATGCCTGCAGAACACATGCAGAACTAGAACTACATCGGAACAAGCCATCTATGCTATGCTAAAGAGTTAAAGAGAAGAAATAGGAACTTATTCCATTTCACTACAGTAGCAGTCTAATGTCAGATTGTTCATAACATAGATAAATCATTTTCATGTCAATGAATGTAAGTACACAGATCACAATTAGATGCCTAACACTTGGAAAAAATGCAGCCTACTGAATCTGATTATACTATCTACAATTTTTGTAAGACTACTGTGCAACATGTTAAGGTTTGCATAAACTCCTTGTTGAAAACTAAATAGTGACAATAGCTGTGCATTACAAATACCAGTGTTTCTGCTTTGCTCAGTTAATATACACCATATAATTATGGATTTAAATGATTAACAATATAGCAGTTGTGCAAACTACTCATGATTTGGTTCCCAGAGAAATTTGTTTTGACAAAGACTAATGATACTTCACACTTGAAACAACTGCATCTGTAATAGCATTTCAATCAAGGCTACACCACTATAAGTACAGATGCATTCTGCACCCTTTCAATTCTATACAATGGGACTAGATTAAGTTTGGTGTTAGAGGTTTTCACTTTTCCAGAACACATTACTGCAACCTTGTGAATAAAATCTGCTTGGTGCAAGCTGTATGAAGGTAGTAGAGCTGTCTGAGAAAAGCAGCAAGTAATTTCAACTTCAAAAGCACGTAGCTTCTCAGATTTTAAACAGAACTGAATTCTGACCTTTTGTGTTAAGTAATGAAAGAGTAGCATGTTGTGTCAGGAGAATGAATATTTAATTGGGACTGACTGTTACTGCATTTGGAAACACCTGTTACACATGGTTAATGGCATTTCAATCCCAAACAGCATTTCTTTCTGAGTAAGCTAGTTATCATCAAGGGCTACATAGTCCCACGAGGGACTATGGAGGGCATTCGGATATATCAGGGACAAATGAGCAAGATTTCCTGATAGCTTTTAATATAGCATTGGGATAAACTAATAATAAATAAATAAAACAATCCTTGCCACAACCTGATGTACATATGGGTGTCGAGGTAACATGGGATTAAATTGGCACATGCATCCACCCTTGGTAACACAAGTAGGGCTATGTGGCATAAGTGGCACCAAGGCATTGTGGCATGGTGGAAAGAGAAGGAGAGGAAGGGAGTATCTTATATGGCACGGGAAAGGTCCGCTCTCACTGGTTGGCCTGAAACCATCTATTTATCCTTTAATTTACCTGGGGATTAGTATCTGTAAAATGTTTCCCAAACAGGTTGTCTTGATACCTTGCTAATTCAGTTGCAAATTATCTCAATCCTGGCTGCATATAAAAAGCCTTGCTTGAAGTACACCCAAATACTCAGACTATTTGTGATTATAATTTGGGTATCTAACAGAGAAGATGAACATTCCCTTACAGCAGAGCTTTGCAGGAAAGATGGGCTGATTTTCTTGTTTTTTTTCTAAGTGTAACAACCCAGGGGATCTGCTGCTGTGGAAATCATCTGGCAAGGACTCAAGGAAGATGCAGGTAGGACGGTCTTCTTGATTTCCCTCTGGAAACCTTAAGTAGCAAACTTTTCTGTGTTAACAGGAAGAATGATTTGCTTTAAAGCTACACCTGTAAAAGTAAATGTGATTGAAGGAGCTCCTGGCCCTAAGGCTAGCTGGCATGGGACAGGCCGCATCTCCACCATGAAAGTCCTTCAGCCTCCAAACTAGGATGTCTGCATTCAAGCTGCTTATAGTGAATGGTCTGTGCCCCATGCTAGTGTCCAGCTGGTCCCAGAAATTGTTCTGGAGAGTAATTATGGGCCAAAAATACACCAGAGACCATTGTAATAATTTAGCAGATTAGGCAAAAGAGTTCCAGTGCCCAGAGGAATTCCCAGGTACCACTGATATACTAGGATAGAAATAGCCTAAATAAGCTTTTGGATGGTACACCAAATATGCTGGGTGCAGAGTGCTCTTAGTTCTTTTAGTAAAAAAGCATCCCTGAGAATCTGAGATTCCCAGAGCTCAACTCCAAAACCAAAATCAGACTGCAGCCTTCCTAAACAGACAGTTGTGCAGGAGCTTGTTACTTGGCCATCAAGCCGAGCCTCATTCTTTTCCATTACAAAAAATGAAATGTTGATTATGTATTGTGGGATGTCCTTTTTGGGCAGTTCATTTGCAACAAGTTTCTTATAACTGTGAGCTTCCTTACTTTCATCTATGTCAACATCAGCAGGTCACATTCCAGTCAGTACTGGCATGAACCTCTGTGTGAGCTTTCCAGCTGCACTTTGTATTTCAGTCTAGTACTAGGGATGTTTGGATGTCATGATGTAAATTTTTCAAGACAAGTAAAAGAAAGAAAGAACAACAACAACAAACCTTCCAAAAAACAAACATAAAACTAAAGTGTAATTTCAAGTTTCCTATATAATTTTTAACTAGATGATAGGCCAACAAAACAGCTTTTAAAACTCTATGGTATTTAGGCAAGGGAATTTTCTCACAATTTGTAAAATTTCTCACGTTTTAAAAGAAGCTACTGATATAAAACTGCATAGTCATCACATATATGTGATGGCTACTGGAATTAAAAGCAAGATAAGAAGTTGCTAACATTTTGATAAAATCTCAGAAAATAAAACAAAACAAAACAAACAAAAAAAATCCCTTGATTTTTAACATTCTGAGAGTTAAGCTGCTATCTAAGCCACTAAAGCAGATAAACATGCTTAGTGATTACTCAGTTTTCTCTTGTGAGGTTGGCTCCTTCAAGAACTTCCAAGGACACATAAGGTTTTATGAGGCTGGTATAATCTTCCCATTACCATGTGGAAAGGAATCAACAAACTCTGGGGCATTGTTCCCATACTCTTACAGCACACCATCTATTTCATGTTGATGAGATCCCTGAACAGGGATCAGAGAAGACTTTGACCAAACAGAGAAGACTTTGACCAAATTTATCAGTTTTACTTGACAGAAAGGAACAGAAAAGATGTTATTAGGAAAACCACCAGGCTTTGTCCACACATGGCCCTATCCGCCACTGGAATTTTAAGGCTCTAACCAAAACTGTAACATATGAATTGGTATGCTATTGTTTTTCACATAGGTTGAAGCATGTGACATATTTATTGGTGGAAATTTTCTCACCTAAACAATTTCAAAAAAATTATTAGTTTCTGTAAAAATTCTGATTTATTCTCAGTACAGGTATCAGCAGATGAAGTAATCAGCAAGCACAGCTCTGACCTTTTGCTACTTTTGGTGACACCAAACACTACGAGTATTTCTTTAGGCTTGTTGCAACTATTTTCATTATTACAACTTTGTCAACAGAATTCTTAATTATTATCCTCTTCTGAAGAATTCTCCAGATCACTGTATAATATATGCTGAAGGGTCAGGTTTTCTTGCTTATATGCCACTCTGCTTATTATATATCTTAATATGATGATGGATTCTCCATTTTTCAGACTAGTCTAAATATCTATCTTTTCTCAAAGATCTGTCCCCATTCCAGGAAAATGAACAAATGACTGCTATTCTTCCCAACTAAATTTTACAATGTATCAGGAATAGATGGCCTCAATGGCCATTATTTCTATTATAATGATAACAAACTTTTAAAGGATGTAGAAAGTCTGGATGTTCTAATGTCACAAGGCACTAGTTGAATAAACAGCAGAATTTGCACGACGATATTTAATTTTCTCTTGAAAATAAATGAAAACACAGAGATATGAAACAGAATTCTGTTTCTTTCCCGTGACCCCAAGGTTTAATAAAGTCACGTATACTTCCTATTTTATGACTAATGCTACAATAAATTAAAACCTGCTTCAAAAATTGATATGCTTACCCCATAAACAAGTTCTCCCACCATCCCATTCCAGATTTTTGTCTCTGGATCCCTTGCTCCATATTTTCCATCAGGAACAATGGCAATTTTGTACTTGATACCAATATGTTTTGCAATTTCTGATGCCAGATCTACACAGTATCCTTCAAACTTGTCATTCCCTTCAAACGTATCATGGTTTTTCTTGAACATAACATATGGGGCTTCCTATAATGAAAGAAGTAGAACTGTAAAGGAGAAGTATACAGAATATACTCTGAAAAACAACATGTAATCTATCGATGGAACAACACATTTTTTATCAAAAATACATAAATAGTATTAGCACATTTAAATTTAAATATATGAGCAGAAATCCTTCTGGAGATATATTCTATTTATACTGTAATTTGACTTACGCATTTCACAAGATTTATCAACCTTTACAAATTATAAATATATAATTTATATATATAATTATATATTATATTATAAATACAAAAATACCCAAGGATACATATAAATTCTACTTTGTGCTAAATGAAAGACCTTATTGCAGTGTATATTAAAATTAAAGTGTGAACAAAAGTTGAAGCTGTACAATGCAAATGACCGTGGGATAATGCAAGGTATAAATTATGCTTTTTGATTGAGAGGATAAATATATCCTCTAACATAGTGTGGTTACTCTATATGCAATTTCAGGTGCACAGCCTGAAGCATTTGTTTTCTTTGTGTTAAGAATGCATAGTAACTCAAAGGCTATATACATTTTAGTGAGAATATGGAAATACATTCCAGAGGAAACACATATCCTGCCCTTTGAATAAACAGTGTATATTCTGCATGGTCTTTCAACATGAACCTAAGCATGAACCAAGCAATATGCATGAATAAGCACCATATTAAGCTGATACTGACTTTACACACTGCAAGAAAAATATCAAAATACCATTTTGGTTGGTGAGTGTCATTAAAAAGAACAAAAGATGTCTTGAAAAGTGGATCTTACATTCCCTGTGTAAACCATATTATCACAATAATAGTGAACATTATGTGATTGGGAAATTAAGGTCACATTTTTCTATTTGGCTCTGTGTGGATTCAGACTTCAGCAATCATTATGTAAAACTATAGTTCCTGGTGGTATTTTAAATGACTTCACATAATCCATATTAATAGTCAGTTCCAGATAAAATGCTTGTCACTAATGTCACCCTTTGTTTGAATTTACATCATAAAACACTGGCAACTTCAATTTTCTCTTAGGCTATAGCTGTGCTGGCTCTTGGCAAATGTTTTTTTTTTTTTTTTTTTTTTTTGACATTGACCTTGGTAGTCCTCTGCCCTAGTCACATCTTTCCTACATACCTAATTAATACACTAATAAAATAAAGGTAAATGTGTAGCTTAGGAATTTGTTTTTCATTAATATTACATGAACAACAGTGGTAAGCAGCAGCAATTTTGTGACATATTGGGTGTTTAATAAGCAAAGATATGTGGCATTACATGAGGAATGTGAGGACGGCACAAACCAATTTCAAATATTTTCAGTATGCCAGGTATATTTCTCCTTCCAGACACCAAAATGTAGTTCCTATTAGCTGGATCTGAATCCACCCAAGAGAACTTCATAGGCAAGTCTGAATGGTATACTCAACCTGCTATTAAAGTGTGAAAAGGCAGAAAACTAGAAAAGAGAGAGATTGTGTGTGGGAGGCACTATTCCATTTACCTAAGAAAATTTACTCCCTGTAGTAACTGGGCCCAAGACACACCTTAGTATAAGGGCAGAAAAATGGGGCTTTGTGTTATGCAAATGGAGAAAGTTATGTAGTTCATTTGCTTTACTGTGACAGAAATATCCTAGATTGAATTAAACAGTTTGGGAGCCAGGAAGCAGTATATTTTCCTTAAATGTAGAGGCAGGTTCTGAAGTACTGCAAGAATGTTTCACTATCGTGTGTAACCTCAGAAAACCTCTCCTCTCATCATCTCCTTCTTATGATACTTTCTACTATGGAAATGCCTTTGTGGGCCACAATCCCTTAGCAGAAATTCAGTGTTGGAGACTGTTTACGTGTTGCCAACATTAATTCAGCTAAGGAACCATGCAGCTTAGAAAAGCACCCACTTCTAAACACTGCCTGGGTACCTGGTTCCTTGCCCTGTATATACATAGGTAAAAGACCAGAAAAATTTGAAGGGCAAAACAGAAGATTGCTCAATTTCTTGATCACTGCATGGCCAAAGATCACCACAGACCTCTAAAACTGGGGCAATCACAAAAAAAATCTGTTACCACCCTGACGCGTGTGACCTGGGCACTGGGGAGATCACTGAGCTACAACAACATTAACTGCACACTGAAATCACTGCAGCGATGCAGTGCAGCTGAGTTTGAATCTGCTGAATATTAACAATAGCCCACACCACTTTGTATTCCTATGCCCAGTCAAATGAGCTCAATCTTAACTATCTGTGTTCCAGAGTAAGGGAGGGAAACGAGCAAGGATAACATGTCCTGCCCTCTCTTTGCAGTAGATCTTGATTTGGGGAAGTGTTTTGGGCACGTCTATAAAATGGCCCTCACTCACATAGGGTTGTTGTTCCCATGAGAGGAAAAGCAAAATCTGGGTATTTCTACATATGCTATTCCACAAAAATGGTTAAAAATAGAGGAGGAAAATAATATGTTCTGTGATCCAGCCAAGCACTAGCTAGAAGTACAGCCACATCTTGTCCAATATTCTGGATTTGTGGACTCTCATTACAAGCTTCAGCTATGTTTGCTTGCTATACCTCAAAAGTCATTTTGTTTTCCAATGATTAGCATTAGCAACTGCTAGCTCTTCTGATTCAGCCTTTCTTGTAAGTCCCAGGCCAAAGGCATTTGATTAGTCATGCCAAAAAAAATAATTCTGGAGAGCGACTGGAAACAGTTAGGTTCAGAGGAGTCCAGGTCAGCCTGTTCCTTGTCCCAAAACCGAGACACTGAGCTTCTGCCTGCACCTCATTGATAGGGCTTCTACAAAAAAGCACTTCAATTGCCTCTGCAGAACAAAATGAAGTAACAGATGCCTTATTTTTCCTGTTAATGGCTAAATAAACTTCATCCTGCCTCACCCTAAGTACTTTGTGGGAACACTAAGTAGGGTAACAGTGGGGTCCAGCACCATTCCCAGTGGGTACAAGATAGGAGCAACCCCATCCAGTGCAGGGACCAGTGACAGAGGACTGAGAAGACCTCAGTTCTGGCAGGGATCATTTGGGCGACTTGAAGGAACCACAGTGCTTCTCTTCCCTCCCACTTTTCTTTCTATCCACCCTGATATCACTGATTTAGAGCACAATACAGCAAAGAACATCACTTACAATGTGAATCTACTATAGACTGAGGTAGTACTTCATGCTGCGACTGCTTTAAAAGAAGCTGTAATTGAATGTAATCTGCCAGTGTGAAGCAATACAATTAAAGTTGTGGGAACACATATTACTTCCTGCTTCTGCACTGTCCTTTCCCTCCTGCCTACTTTATAAAGAATAAATAACAGTTTATTTAATTGTTGTGCCTATTTATCTGCCAAATAATGAATGAGGTATTCTCCAAGTAGAATTTGATGGGGGAATGTGGATGGGACTGAATGTGGCTTTCTAATAAAGACTGTTTACAAGAAAATTCAGATAGCAACAATAATTTCAATTCTGACCATTTCAGATTTTGGGAGTGTTTCAAACTAATGAAGTGTGCAGAAGTCATTACAATGACATCAGGACACTGAAAGGCAAGTTTTACTGGTTTGCTAACAAGCAACTTATATGGATGAACTTGCAAGGTCATACTGCAAAATTATGAAACACCTGAATAGATCAATAGCATGTACTCAGCCATATCTTGATGTTATTTTCTATCTGTGTCACTGAAAAAAAAAAGTTGTCTTTTCTGTATAGTCTATCACAATAGCATTTTCTAAACTAGCGGTAATGGTAGTATAACCATGCTGGTCTAAAGGTAAGAGAGATGCAAGATATCTATGGAGAGCTATTATCATTTATTAGATCAGCTGAAATAGCTGAAAACAGTAGCAGGGTTTTTCACCATTTCCAGTTATAGGCTATTCTCTACTAAAAATACTACTTCTTACCACCAGAATTTTATTTACTACATTTTTGAGCTATAAACTCTTAACCTGTGGATAGAAAACACAGATTTGACTTACTGCTGTATGAGGCTTAACACCACAATACTTGCAAGATTTTGGCTGTTTAATAATATTCTATGGGGTAGTGAATCAAATAAAAGTCCACATTGAAATGATCAATGACTAGCACGGAACAGATATTTGAAATGGTGCAAGCTTTACTTAAATAATTCACAATTTTATAACAATACTTAACATTTGTAAATACAAGTTGAAGTCTGCAACAATTACCTTTATAGATGTAAACAAATCATTCCACCACATTCTCACAAATTCATGTGTACAGTAAAATGCTCACAACTGATGATTCATACTATAAGGGAAGCTGGAGAAAGTAACTAATCCAAATATCAAACAGATCTACAAATGGCTTGCCTACTGTAAAGTTAATTTCAAAATCTTTAAGCACTGTAAAAATAATTTGTAAAAGTGACAAATATTTGTGCAAGAAAACGTCTCATTTCTAAAACATGGGTGGCACACATTATCACACTTTATTCTGAAAAAAATAAATCTATGGAAGTCAATGAGTCAATGGAATAGGTTTTTGGTTTTGTCTTTTTTTTATTATTTTTATTTATTTTTATTTTTATTTTTTTTTTTTTCTGAATAAAGTGTCCAGGATTCGGTTTGAAATCTTTGTTATTGTCATGCAACAATTTTTTTTTTTTTCTCCAGTCTTCTAAAGAATTTAATCAATACAGTTTTTACTGAAATAAAATATTTTTTCTAATATGAAAAAGAAAGTCAAAATTAGAATTTTTGAGGTAAGACGGGCAACTGTGTATCAGCCAAAACAAAGTGTGATATTTAGTCATCTAATGGAGGTGTCTGTCATCTTAGGTGCCCTAAGGTAGCCTGCTTGACCTCCAAGTGGCATTCTGCAGGTCCTGTCTGCTACCTCTTTCTGGATGGCTCTGATATCCTCAGTGCTATCCTTCTAACTATGGATAACCAAATCAATTTCTGAATCTTAACTTTGGTAAAAGCTTACACACTTGGGGAATAACTGTATGTTGTGAAACAACATACAATAGCTGAGACATCCACATGGATTGGTCATATATAGCATAAGACAGGCAGGAAAGTGTCACCCTGCTGGTGTTAGCAATGGGTATGCAGTATATCCTAAAGCATCATAGATGTCACTGGGTACTTTTAAGCAGGCAACTGGATCAAGACCCTCTAGAAAGAAATCTACTTTTAGGTGGCATAGTCTTGAATGGAATCCTGCCTTTGAAGCTTGGTCTGCCAACAAACACCAAGAATATCTTATTAAAATACTAAGCTGGAAGCCACAATGCAGACACAGCTCACTGTATGTCAAAGCTTTGGTTCTAAAGGATTTTTATGAACTTTAGGTTTTGCAGTCTGAGAGTAGGTACAGAGTTGTCTGTATCATGAGATGGATTAGAGAGTTTGGAGGAGTCATCTCAGTCTACTCCCCTATATTCAGCATCTTGCCACTGTATTTCTCAACTTGCTAAAATAGCAATGATCATTTTACTCATATGGATAACCCACTATTTGCCTTACTGTTAGAGGAGGGTTGCACAGTGTCCCTTCTCCAGTCATATATGAACCTACAGTGTACCAAGGTGGGGCCGCAGGGTGGAACATTTCTGCACATAGGTAGAGCATCTGCCCTATCTGAGAGGCCCAGATGTGCAGAAGGATGCACATCACATGAAGTGCAGGACACAGGGCTCTCATAGGAGCTATAAAAGCCAGGTCTATGTGGCAGCTGGTATATTAATGCATGACAGCTGCCCATGCTGCCTCCTTTCACTGAGCTGCTCCTTCACCACTTGCTAGCTGGAGGTAGGATGAGTGCCTACGTGCTAAACCAAAGCTGTAAAATATATTCTACATGCTATCACTACTTTACAAATGAAGATAACATTTTACCAAGTAGAAAACACTGTATTAGTCTCTTTGAGTGCAGAGCTAATTCTTTATAATGCAATAGCCATACAGCCACATTACAGCAAAGTAAGCATAGATACATAAAAACTGAAGAAAGAGCAGGCAAACCAACTTGTGCTATTTGGCTTCAGGCAAAAATTAAAGTGAGCCATGCTGAAAACTTGTGAAGTTTTCTTACGCTGTCTTGACACCTGTCTTTGAAGACTGAAAAGCCTGACAGCACTAGCTGCAGAAGCTTTTCAGTTTGATGTTGGAAAATATGCATGCAACTAAAATTACATGTCATTTAAAAAGGTTCAACTTCCCTTCAATGTGAAGAGGGCAGTGAAGAGGTCAAAAACTCTTTGTCTGGCATTTGCAACATGACTATAATACAGACAAGAGCAAAATAGCAGTGTTCTGAAAGTTACACTAGTTAAATATATCTTTGTGTGTGTGTGTGTGTGTGTGTGATCATATGCTTCTGAATGCTAAATCCATTGCCCTGGCAGGCCAATATTTAGAATCATGGCTGTAATCTGCCTTCAGATTCATGTGGGCAGCTCCCAGTTTGGATAATGGGAGATATGCATGACTACCTTAAGGCAGAATTCATTCTTATTCAAACCAAATTCTGATATATTTCTCTTGCACTGTGATTTCAAAACATTGAAAGGGGATGCTTTTGGTCAAGAAGCAGTGCTGCTTTCCAATAATTGTATTTATCCCAAAATGACATGCTGCATAAACTTAGGGCATGCTTTGGAATATTAATTCAGCTTTTTGGTTTTGAAAATGATCCCACCAGTCCTTTCAATACAGGAACTGAAAAGTTCTTTTGAAGATAACATTTATTATGCACATCAAAATGCTTCAATGCAAACAGGACAGGCAAGATAACACATTTTAAAAGCTTTCTTGTTTTCCTTTTTCTTTTTTTTTTTTCCTTTCTGGCAAACAGAAACCTTTTATATTACTTTTCATTATTATTTTTTACTCATTTCTCCTAATCTTGGAGCTATTTATGGAAATTACAGTACTCATGTATGGTAGCTTCAGTCAAAGGTATCAGGATTGGTAAGAGGAAAATTTCGACTGAAAGCTTGTTATTCACATCATTCTCTTCTCAGCTTGGCAAAGTTGAAGGGTAACGTCATCTGTTCTAGACATTTCAGATTAGTCACAGAACTTTTCTTGGTGGTTCAGTGCCTGGTCATCCAGTCAGAGGAACAGTAATCCATATGGAAAAATTAGCTCAATGCTACTAGACTGGTGGTTAATACTTGAGCCTTAGTTAGGAATGTTCGCAGCATCTTGGGACTCTTTTCTTCCTTGATCAATTTCTTAAAATAGGATTCTTCATCAGAGGCTGAAAAGAGGAGGACTGTACTGAAGTACATTTTTTTTTTCCATCACCAAGTCTTTTTTTTTTTTTAGGAAAAAGATACATATATTTAAAATGTCCCATGCAAATAGTAATAAAAAAAAAAAAAGTTACACAATTTGGTTAGGAGTTACACTCTGAATTCCTGTACAGTAGGAATAATTTGTTTGGTTTGTATCCTGGAATGATAATCTTCAACAGGAGACTTGTTAAGACATATTTAATGTATAAATGCTGACACACACTGCTGAAAATCTGGTAACTAACCGTATTTTTGAGTAAGAAAATGTCTTGTCACTTTCTTTTGGATTATTTTCAACTCTGTATTAAATCAGAAAATTATTGCTTAACCACGCATACAGAATACTCCTTCCCATCTGCGAAACAGCTTATCCTAAAGGGTTAAAATGTCTTGTCTAAATGAAGCAGGTGAAAAGGGCAGTGAACCGAGATGTAAAATCTTAAAAGCGGTCAGGTAAAGGTCAGCCTTTGCCAGTTAGCTTTGACAAACATCAGCTTAAAAGGGCATGTCTGACTTCAGAGTAAAAATTGTTAAATATTTTGTTTAAAATACAGTTTTGGAAGAAAAAGTATTTTGAAAAACTATGTATTAAAAATGTGAATTAATGAAACAACTGCATTCTTCTTTGTCTGCAACCACTCTTTAGAAACACCAATTACATAACACTGAAAAATCACACCCCAAATTTATTTAGATTTTATTAAAATTGAAAAATTTACCAAAATGCTTAATAATATATATTTAGAAATATGTTCAAATGTATTTACTAAATTCCTCTTTTCCATTCACAAGTAAAAGCAGATAAACCAGTTTTGATTAGCTAATAGAACTATAATGCTTAGAATGTTAGTTCCTACTGCAGCCAACTTTGAATTTATAAAGTATCAAAAAAAGGGATACTGGCATTAGAGACATCTCATTTTATGCCATCTGCTCAATTCTGTCATTTAGAGGTTTTAGTTTTTTCTTCCAGTTTCTTATGAGTCAAGATTTATCAATCAGAGGTTGAAAGAATTCAAGTATATTTCTGAGAATTACTATAATAGAAAAAATGAAAAGACTAAATGAAGCAAAAAAATTAACTGTAACTTATTTTTTAAAACCTGATATCAAGTGAATTGTGATTTTAAACGCATACAAAAAAAAACTCTGAACAGACATGACAGTCAAGATAATTAAGATACATGGCTCTCACCCTCCCACTAACCTAGGAAATGGCAGACTAAATAACAATATAATTAGAAATGAGATTGTGTCACACACCAGTATATAAAATAATAATAATAATAATAATAACAACAACAACAACAACAACAACAACAATAATAATAATAATAATAATAATAATAATAATAATAATAATAATAATAATAATAATAATAAAACACAGAACAAAAATACCTTACCAAAATTGTAGTGACAACTACTGTTCTATTCTCAATGGCTGAAGTGTCATTTCCAAGCGTAGGTTCATGCTGAATCAGAACTAATTTATCCATGTCGTTCCAGTAACCAACCTGCAAAATAAAATGAATATAATTTACAGCAGGTAACCCTACATCCTGTATAATTGCAAATATTACAGGGATTACACCAGGCTTATTCCACTGGCACTGACCTTTGGCACCTGCAAGTCTAGCTGTTAAACCTTTCTTTATACTCAGTGGAGAGATGGCACCACCAGAGAGCAACTCAGCCCATGCAGGATATGCATCCCACCTAGAAAAGTGCTTGTCTTTCCCCACACTAAAGCATGTTGAACATGACTGCAGTCTGAACGGTTCTCTGCTTAGTGCCAACAGAGGTGAAACAAACAAGGTTTTAGTCTCCCTCACTACATTTAGGCTGCCACAACCCTTCCCAGAGCAGCCTTTAGGTGAAATACCTGCCTTTGTTCATTGCAGGTGCTGAAATACTTTGGAGCCAGGTTTGGTTCACTCGTTCATGCATTACCATGGAGGGAAAAAAAAAAAAAAAGAAAAAAAAAGGTATTCTTGCAATTAGAAGCCCTCCCCTTACATACATACACACACTGCTCTTTGCAGTGCACACCTCTGGAATTCAATAAAGCCTGCGGCTGTGCCCTCTGCATTGGTAGTGATGCCGTTGGGCACAAGACATGAGGCAGCATCCTTTCCTGGGAGGTCCCAGGGCTGTTTGCTTGCTGTAAGAACAGATGGGATGAAGGCAGCCTGAAAAGCAGTGATTCTCCCTCAAAATTTCATTGATGTGCTTGGGAGCTACTCAATTAAAACTTAAAACCTCTGCCCCTCCAAAACAAACAAACAAACAAACAAATAAATAAATCCCATAGTCTATGTATTATGTCTTTGGGTAGCTAAAAGAAGATTTGAGTCCTTAACCTTAAGATACTTCACTACATTTGTAACTCCTGCCCAGTCTGAATCTCAGAACACACCCAGCTCCTCACTGCACATGGTGACACCATCTTCAGCGTCTGTACCAGGGTCTATGTACAGCGTCTATGAAATGGCAAGCAGTTCATGATGGTAATCCCATGTCTTGCTCTTATTTGGAGTTACCTAATTCCGCCTTCACACCTGGCCTTACAGAATACCAGATGCAGGTCACTTTGCCGAAGCTGCTCTCTCACATCCAGCCCATGGCTCACTAGCAGACACCTGTCCTTTCTCCTTCTTTCCAGACTTTTTTTTTTTGCACCTAAATCATGGCTGCCTGTGGACCTTCTGACAAGGCTGATGGGAACAGCTCAATGCCTGTTCCTCTAAGCCAGCACTAAGAGCAGTCCTCTCACGTCAGCAGGACAACACGAGAGCAATAGTAGCAGTAGGACTCTAGTACTACTAAAGGGGCTCTCCAGGTTGCTGAGACCCTAATGAATGAAGCAACTGATCCTTTTTCCAAGGAAAGTTGCAGGCAGTGGAAGTGATTTTAAAGGATTCCTATGAAGGTTGTGCAATTCCAGCTGGCATAGCTCACTTTTTAGAGGCACCTGTGGACCAGTCATCAGCATCTCTCCCTTCCTGCCTTGATTATCTGGAGTTTATGAGATCAAGAGCTGGGAGAAGGAAATTCCTTGTCCATCTTACTAGAAGAGGAAAGGGAATTTTAGAGGAAAGTGTAATCTGGCTAAAGCTCCAGTGTAACTGTCAGCGCTGAAGAACAGTCTGTGCCTTGGATGAAAAGAATTCAGTGTGATGCAAACTGGCTGAATGATCAGATCAATTATGTAGCCAATATATTTTTTAATATTTTTGCAGAACCCAGGCTAAAATTCACTTTCACATAGGTTTATGCCTCTGTGAAATGTGGCTAATCTTGTTCAAAGCAATGCAGTGGTGCACTAAGAGTCTAGAAGTGTCGCGGAGTGGTTTTTGTTCCTAATTCCACATGCATTAAACAATCCTATGTATTCTTAAACCATTCCTTATGTTTAATATTTAATTCATTCCCTTTTTAAAATTAATTTATGGAGAGGCAAGTCATTTTAGAAGTCCCTAGGGCAGTGTGCAGACACACTTATCACAGCAGTGAATATGCATTTTTGAGAATTCCAAACACATAGGGTAACTGGATCTGAGTGAGTAAGTATGAGAGAGTATGAGTGACTGTTTTGTTTTCTATTAGTGAAGCAAACAGGCACAAACCCTTTCAATGCCAAACTTTTGGTACATTTAGTTGACTTGTTCCTTTTCTTTTTGCAATTGCTTTAAAAACCTATGAGCCTTGATTTAGGTGTCTGCATCTAACAGAAGTTTCAAAGTTGCTAATACAGGGGAGAGACAGGTTTTCTTCCTAGTAGGATGCACACTAACAAATACTCTTTTTCATCCAGACAATCATAGATTCGCAGATACAATTGATAACTGAAAATGTCAAGCTTCTGTCAAGAACTGTGACCAGCTAAAGGCAGAACATGTACACTGAAAGCTGGCAGTATGGGAAGCTCATTATAACCATGAGTGATTGTTTACTGTACAGTTCCTCACTGCTGGGAAGTTCAGAAGGAAAGCAGAAAATGAATGATGCAGTGTGTTATAAAACTAAGTACCATGCAAAATACAGCCAGAGATAAAGAGTATTTCTGAGGAACGGTAGGCATTTTTAAAGGAATATTAACCTGTGAGTATGGGTGTGAGTGTGTGCACCTCAAATTTGCACTAAAGTAACTCTGGAAGTGAGTTATTAAATAAATATATAAGAAATATATGACATGTATGAGTATGTAGGTTTACAATGACTGTGAGAGCACTAAAATACAATATGCTTATCTCTAAAATCTCAAATCCTCAGGGATAAAACTCCTGAAAGGATAAGATTGAATTCAGCTATTATATAAGTAAATCCAATTCAAGACAGATTTCCATTGGACTTTCTAGCAGTTGCGCCCACTTATAGAGAAGCTTAATTTATCTTTTAGAAAATCATATTGCAAAAATATCTGCCTCAAAGTAAATTTGTCAAAACATTTTTTTTTTTTGATTTTTTTTAAATAATAGTGTAATTTCTGAAGGTGCTTCTGCTGAAGTCTGCAAGCCAGTAAAGGCAGAATACTTTAAATTTTGATAATCAATTTCCTTTTTTTTTTTTTTTTTTTTTTCCAAGTTGGGACTCAGGAGCCAAATCAGAATGTCTTGTGCATGTACATGTATACATATATGCCTTGTTTACTTTTTAATTTTGTTTTTAATCTTGATGGTATCATTTTGTAGACAAGAACCAAATACAAAATTTAGCATAAATGAAACTAATAGGAACATGGGTTATTGCATCCTGTTTGACTGCACTATTTTGAATTCTGCTTTTCACTGGCTGTGCAGTTTTGTAATGCTTTTTCCACATCCCTAAAATTGTGGGCAACAAAAATCTCTCTTCTAAAGATTAGAGGCATGTGTTACTCTGACTGGAAAGTCTAGTCCTGAAAAGATACTGTTGGGTGAGTCATAAGTCATATTACGTAGGATGCGAGAAGAAGACATTAAAGGTGAAAGCTTCTTAGTTCAATTAAGTAAAGTTATTTCTCATACATTATAGAGGATTTTCAGGCTGGATGGAGCACAGACTTGGTCCAGTGATCACACAGTAGTGCAAAAATATTATGTAATAAGTAATACATAAGAAATATGTAAGTAATACATAAGAAAGAAATTCTTGTGAGTAGAGATCTGTCAAAATTGTTATGGCTTATTATATCAAAGACAGGTAATGGTTTGAGAATGGCAGAGAGGAAAAGGGAGAGCATGCCTGAAAATATAAGAATATCACCTTGGGATGCTAGCACAGCACAGGCATAACTCTTTTTGCTACCATCCTCTCTCTCAAATCACAGGCAAGAAGAGGGGGTGGAAACATCCAGCCAGTGGTGCCAGCCAAAAACGCCATTCTCAAAACGGATGAGAAGTGTTGAAATGGGACCAAAAGGCTGATTTTGACAGTTAGCTTGCTGCTAAGCAAACTCCCTAATGAGTTACTGAAATTGTGACCTAATGAACTACACCTTTTCCACTTTGTCTTCCCTCCAGTACAACTGGGTGTTGGGGGTGGAGGGGTCATACTTCTCCACTTGCCTTCGATGCGCCCCAGCCACCCGTACATCCTCTGAGCTGCTGGCAGCACGGCTCACAGCCAGGCAGACAGCAAGGTCAGACACATTCTCTGGCAGTAGGCACAGGTCTTCCCAAGAGGGAAGCAAGACAGATTCACCTTTCCCAATGTATTTTTCAGCCATCTGTCATACTTTCAGAAGGCAATTTCACTAATACACCTGATAAGCAGGCACATGCTTGCTTTGCTTTGGTCTACAGCTCTATACAGGGATATGCAGTTAGTGCATCCTGATGTGTAATTCTGCTCTGGATCTGTAATTTAACACTTTGTTTTCTCATCACTGCAGCATACATCTGGGGACACACGATTCACCTGGGGTACTATTTACTGGGCTTGTCACCTCTGGCCCAACAGTGGTGGACTACTTAATTCGATTCTGATTGCTTCAGCCCTTCTCAAGCAGCCATGATCCTCCTATTCACCTCCAGCTTCTCACTTTCTCTTCTTCTGATGATTTAGCAAACAAAGCAGTCCACAGTGCCTCCAAAGGAAATAAAACACTTGAGCCTGAGTACATTTTCTGCTCCTTATTTATTTTAAACTATGACAAATGGACAAATTCAAGCACAAAAGAGGAAGGGCTAACAAAGCATACGGCTTATCTCTTCACAGTGACTGAGCTGAGTGATAATCTATGTGCATTCAGACATAGAGGATGTGCTTGGACACACATTATTAGTATGTCTGCCTGCCTGCCTGACATCCCACCTCTCCAAGATGCATACTAGTTTCTGTGTTTCCTCATTTGTTGCATGGAATAATAGTATCTAGCAGAAAACAGAGATTAAATCTGTTTACTCCAGACATTTTTACCATGTAGTTGATATATTTTTAAAATTAAACAGAATTCAGTTTACTGTAAATTTAGTTATTTAATCATAGTAAACTATACGATAGCAAACATTGTCAGCACTTACCTTCCGTGGGCCTGTGTTTTTCAGCTCAAAGACATCCATCGTATAGTTGACTCTGCGACCATAGTGGTCAAACTGAACATTTCCTGTCAATCCTTGTATTCGAACCTAAAAATTGAAGAAAAAGCATCAAGAATATAAAGATTTATAACCATAACAACACTACTACAGAAGAATGAGGCATTATAAAGCCAAAATGTTGGCTACTTTTCCTTTGTACTCTCTTTTACTGATGAACTTCTCAAAATAGGTGTAGGTATGCCAGTGTCTATGCGCTAACAAAGACAGACAGTCGACCTTCTCCCATGATTTTCATCACTTTTCAGCTGCAGGTTCTAAGGAGAAGGTTATTTTTTACCATTCTCATCACCACTAAGGAATATTCTGGATCATGTAAAATAAACGTAAAAGATCTTTGGCCTGAACTTATACACCTTTTTTAACTCACACTCTGGTGGCGGATTAAATGTATAAACCGAGTATGTGTTGCTCATCAAGGTAACTGTGAAAACAACCTTGGTCGCAACAAAGCAATTCACTGTCACAGAAGATGGGTGAGATACACAGGGCTTGAAAGGAGTGTTTCCCAAGCCTCACAGTGGCGAAGGACAGACACAAAGCCGTAAGACGGCTGTGGTACTTTTCCATCACCTGTCTCAGAGCTGAAAACAGAACTTGTATTTTCTTTCATCTCTTTTCTGCTTCACTGGAGGATACCCAGACTGGGGCCCTCATCCCAAAGAAGCCACGGTCATATTGCTGCTGGCTTCAGTTGTATCAGGATCCAGCCATGCAAGAAGTATCTTTGGCAAGACTTGGAGGGTCATGCTGTCCAACCTAGTACAGAAGCCTGACTTAGTGCTTCTCACAATTGTTACAGATCTGTGCATCTGCACAGAATATGCAAAGCACAAAAAATGCCTTACTTATCTTCCTAACAATTAGGATGTGGATTTAAAACACTTACTCTTTTCCTTTGACCATTTGTATCTGTGCTTATTTTTCTCCAGGACTGAAACATTGGCTTCCAGGCACAGAGCTGCCATCTCTGTCAGCAGTCACTTCTCAACAGTTTCTCCTGAGCAGAGCCTGCTCATTTGCAAAGATTTAAATTCAACTGCAGGAATTTTATTTTCTTACTGTCCCATTCAAATGAAAGTCTAATCATCTTGACAGAGATCTGGAACTTTCTAGGCATCCATATTCATCAGGAATTCAAAATCTTGACATCAGTGAACAATGGCTCTGGGTGATGTCTTTTTAAAGAAAAAAACACTACCTTTCCCTGGAAGAATTCTACATTTATTCAAACTGACAGAAGAATATTAGAAAGTTTATATTAGGTAGAAAAACCTTTTTCCTCAAATGACAGTATCTGCATACCCAGGTTATATGCAAAGAGCAACAGATGAGCTCAACATCTCAGTGGTGGAAGTCCCAGCTATTTTAATAGAAGTACTAGTAGTTTCCAATAATAGTAGTTCCACTCTACCTTCATTCCAGATTATAAAGCAAAACGTCCAGAACAGTCCTAGCTGTTTCCAAATGGCAACTTACATGTAAATTCCCCCTCTCCCTTATCCTTGAGTATAACATCTTCTGAATCATATAGCGTACAACTAGTATCTAATATTCACAAACAATACTGCAATAAAGCCTACCCTTACCTGTTTTAATGTCCTCTCCATATCAATTCCTTGACCCCATGGAGCAGCAGGGTTAGCAAGACAATCACCAGCGTTTCCTCTTCTTGAAATATCAATTTTCTGTCTTCTAAGATTACGGAAAGTTTCAGCCATCACAAGTACTCCATCATATGTTAATGCAGATGTATACTAAATGGATGAAGAAACACACTGCTTTAGAGTTGGTAGATCTTTATGAAAATCATCTGTTCTCAGTTATTTCTAGCTAGGCATTACACAGCAGTTTGTACATTTTCATTCAGAAACTCTTCTCAAAACCAAAAGCAATTTTGTCTGAAGAATGGATGTAGGATTGAGAAGAGTACATTACAGTAGTTCAAATTTTAGGACTGTATTTCATATGGGCAGAGAAACCTGCCTCTGAATTATTATCAGAAGAAACAAATTAAATTGAAGACAGTCACTTCTCAAACTTTTTTTTCCATTTGTCTTATCCATTGGGAAATAGCCTCATGCACCCACCTAACTTACTAAAAAAAAAAAAAAAAAAAAAAAAAAAAGAGTGACTCACTGAAAAAGATAGATAAATGAGCAGAAATACAAGCTATTGTAATTGTTAAGAATGATCAAAAGTATGTTCTTCAAACCTGTGTTGGCCCTCTGAACAACACAAGGTACTGAAGAATAAATGGGTCTCAGAAGGTCATCTAAGACAGTTTGTGTTTCTACACTACTGTAACTACTTTAGGTAGAGAGCATGACAAATTAAATGTGTAGAGCAAGTCTTTAGCAGATGTTAGCTTGGAGCCACATAAACAACGGGGCATTTTCTCAGCCTGGTCCTCTGATGAATTTACTGCATGTGGATTATCAATAGCAACCCCAAGGCTGCTACTGATATGCCATGTAGCTCAGTCTCAAGTAGGTATGATATGTATTAGCACATGTAATAACAGAGCTATTTTGATGAAGTCATATTTATAACTATGCTTTGATTTGCCTGCCAAGAAAATTGTAGGCGACAGAAATTTTTTGTTATCCATCTGTGAGGGATTAGGTTAGAGGAACACTGGGATGTAACTGGACTGTAAGATCATGACTGAAAATGATGACTACAGTAGGTTTTGAGGTGGATAGAATTTCTACAGGAAATTCCAAATTAAAATTTAAGGGTAGTAAATTTACAATTGTGGTTACATCTCATATACAGAAGAACTCATCTGTTGGGAAAGCTCTGCACTCTGAATCCAGATAATTAGACTAATTCATGTAAAATTGGTTGAAATTAAGTTGTCAGTTAAGTGTTTGACCTTTAGTTCCTGTCAGTAAAGAGGTGATTTGGAGAATAACTGACAAAGGATATTAAAGTATATCAGTGAAATGTGTTGTAGCTTGTATTTCTATCATACAGTCACAAGGACGGGCATTATTAGTTGCCAGTAACAGTATGATCAGCTGCATTCTCCTGTGCCTAAATATTAAGGTCTTTACTCATTTATTCAGCAATGTTAATCAGAAATTAAAAACACTTGAGTGATATCGTTGGTAGTGCTTCAGACCATCCAGTACCTTTGGTGGGGTCTCGGATCCTGGGTATTCTCTCTGGTCTAGCTTCTTCCAGCGCTGCATCAGTTTAGTTACCATTGGTGTACTGAAATCTACCAGCTGAAATCCAGTCACATTAGCTCCTCCATGCATAAACCTCTCCAGAGAAATATCTTTGAATCCCTAGAAAATCAATTTAAGAATTTGTTTGCTCTCATACATCGCTCTGGGTCCAATCTGTTCTAGATCAGCAAGGTGGCATAAAGAAATGTTCAAAGAAGGTGGCAACAGCAGGTTTCCATTAGAAGTTAAGACTTAAAATCAGAGAATAATGCTGAAACTTTGTTCATACTTTCCATTTGTGTCACAAAGAATGAAACCAAACCAAGAAATTCAATTCTGAAAAGTGCCTACAGAATATTAAATCCTTAATCCAATTTACACTGAAGTTGGCAGATTTTAATGAGCACTGTATTAGTGCTTGATCCATCCTGCTACTTTGCATGTTTGCAAAGCGAGCAACACTGTTGTGTAAATATATTTATTCTGGGATTTATTGGTTAGGCTGAAATTACCTGAGTTACACAAGTTATGAGATAATATAATAGATATTAGGATGTAGAGAGAGCACATGAGGGTCTCATCATTAGCACAAGGAAAACAGTATCAGAATCACCTTTTTGTGAAACATGGTGGTGATAGCTCTCAGATCTGATACACATTTAAAGTCTGGAGTGACCCCCAACATGGAATGAAAAAAAATAAAGTACATAGACTTCCTGACTTACTGGTTTTAAGGCTAATTTGTCCCAGTATACAGACAAATCCTTTAGCAAAATTTGCCTTTAGAGACGTATCTGAACTTCAAAAAACTGCATAAGGAAAACTGCTAAAGATGCTAAGAAACAAACATTAATTTTTCTGCTCCTTTTCTATCTGCTAGACTTAATGGCATCTCAAAGTAATCTTTTTGTTTTCTTAAATTCCTGTGATCAGCATTTAGCAGATGAAACAGAAGTGTATTATTACACTTGATTTAAAGTACAAAACTGAGGATAAAAAAAAAAAGTGAGGTACTGACCCAATGCCCCAGATCAAAAAAAAAAAAAAAAAAAGTCCAAGACAGAGATTTGATTCATGTCCTAAAGGAAACTGACAGTGAATATGAAAGGTGACATATCAGGGAATCCTATTACACACGTTATTGAACAGCCAGTAGACAGCAACATGTGTCAATGCAGAAGTAGATGTGACTGTCTCCACCATATACCCTACTGCCTACAGCAGCCACTTTGCATGGGAAAGGTTACTTGGAGAATTATAAATTTGAATGTTGAAAACCTTATTTGTAAGACCTTAAGAGAATAGGGTCATTCTCATTTCAAAAGCCTGAGGTCCTAAAAATAATCTGAAATTATCTTAAGTTAAGGTACTAGTACAGCAAAACACAATAACATATTTCAAGCCAACTAAAATTCCTTGAGGGAGAGTAAAAAGTAAAAAGAGAGTAAAATACATTAGACTCAGCTCTACATTCACTGTGCTTGGCCAGGAAGGTATTTCGGCCTGAAAAATGGGCTATTTAAAAAATAAAATATTGCACTTACTCTTCCTTTGCCCTCTTCTAAACGTTGTGTAAATGTGCTATTTAGACTTAGAGTCAAAATATGAATTGGTAATTTGACTGGAAGTAGCTGATTTTATAACAAAATGAATTTCCCCTAGAGAATATAGAAAAGTTACTTTAAGAATTATTGTGCAACTAATATTAAAAAGATGAGTCTAAAATGATAGCATAGGTCTGTAAAGGCATCTAATTCAGTCACAAGATACACTTAGCAGTCCTTTATGCTACACTGATTTTGATAAGATTTAAGAGGATAATATTGAGTCTTTCTTGTACAGATGGCAGAAACAACAGGACCAAGTTCTTTAATGCTCTGTAAGGAATGAATTATGCACAACTGTATATTAGTGACAAATGGCAGATACTGTATGAAATGCTGTAACTCCAAAGCAAAACTAAGTGCTTCACTTACCTAGCAGGGGTATAATTCTAGAAAAAGATCTTACCAGGTTGGCAACAATGTAATGGTATCCTTTAACATGCTTTCCCACGCTCACAATCTGCAGCAGAGAAAGAAAAAAAAAATAATAATAATAATAAAAAAGAGAGACAGTCATACTGTTTTGTCTAGAAATGCACTTTCACAGTCATATAGATATAAATTTTGAAATATATAAAATCAGCAATATAATGGTGAGAGTCTTTCTCCAATAACGTAGCTATAACTTTCCAGGTGTTTAATCATGGGAAAAAGTTAAAATGAAAGTGAAGAAAGTAATGAACTGGTAATCTGAGTGCCTTCCACACGATTGAAAATGTTACTGTTGTATACTATTTCATCAAGTATGGCAATTACCTACGGGATACAAATTCAGAAGCAGGAGGTCACACATTAACTAGAAAGCCTAACAGCTAATGTACCTTTTCATTTCAAATGAGTGCAGTGTTTATGAATCAAACTAGGTTTTCGGCTCTTGGGATTAAAGCTGTCTGCCCTTGAGGTGGTCAAGTACTACAAGTGTTATTTAGTTCTTAGCGATATGCTAAAGATATTGGGGCTTGGCATGATCAAGGACAGAGCAAGAACAGGCAGCCAGGCTCCCTGCTGTGAAAGCCCCTTGTTTGTAGCTGCAAGGGCCTTCTGGTGACACACAGAGGTGAGAGGGGAACCTTGGCATTTGCTCCCAGGAGGAAGCCACATGCTGCCCTTGAGCATTTAATCAACATATAACATCAAGTGATGCAGACAGGGAACACTCCTGATGTGCAAGTGCTACAGTCCTGATATGGCGAGATCAAGAACAGGGGTTAGACAAAAAATATGCCAACCCACAGTGAATTCAAGGGTTTTCAATGATTAACCACTCACTTAAAATCTGCTTGCAGTCCAAAGATTTTTTTTTTTTCTTCTCATGCATTCATCCCCACAAAGCATTTTAACTTCCTTCTAAATGAATAAACAAGATACAGGCAAAAGTTTTCCATGTGGTGATGGCTACTTAATAAACAACAGGAAAACTATGGATCTGTCTCCTTTTGTGCTTTGAAAATCCTAACTCTAGATTCTGTTCTGAAGAGTTGGCAGCTTCTTGCCTTCATGGACCATGTCCCAGGTTGGAAAGACAGAACATTCACGAAGACTGGCAGACCCTTTCAACAGTGCAGAATGAAATAGATAGCATCAGAGTTTGGAGATGAGACATGAGCTGCTGAAAGACTAAATGATTTGGCCAAAGACACCCAGGGATCCAGGACCTGTATTAACACTTGGAAATGCTTGATTTCCAACTCTGTTGTTGTTCCAGTAAATCAATCTGCTTCTGCAGAGAGTGGAAGGGAAATTCCAGGTGAAGTGGCATAAGCATCTTGTCAGAACTGTGTTAATTTTATTGTTTTAAAGCAATAAAGTGAATAAGCAATGTCTACTATCATTTTATTCTGCTTTCTTCCCAACCTCAATCACTTTTTTTTTTTCAGTCTGTAGCTAAAATGATCAGATTTAAAAAGCAAAACATAACAAACAAAAAAACCCACCCCAACAACAACAACAAAACCTCCCCAGATTGTCCAGATTGTTAGTCCTTCATATAAAAAAAAATGTTTATTTTGGACCCAGTCAGATTCCCATTAAGATCTGTAATTAAATACCATTGCTATCATTTTATTGGGGAAGGGGACAAGAAGGAGATATCACACCTTTCTGTATTGCGTACTCAAGACATGTGAGGTGGGTGCTGTCAAATCTTTTTTTTTTTTTTTTTTCCCCCACTGAGTTTTTCCCCCCCAAAGAGTTCAAATCCCTGCTGGCACAAGGAGGGATTTGAATGGCTTCCTATGGCTTCCTTAGAGATGGAATCTCTGACACCAATAGTGTTTTTACATCTGTACTGCTTCCACTATCCATGGTAATGAAAATGTATTTGCATCCCTACTACAGGGAAAATGATAGAGATTAAAACTCAAATTTTGAACACCTACAGCATCACAGTTTGAATGTAAGTGGGCTGACATGATTTAAAATGAACATGATATGATAACTGTGGGCCTCATCCTCAGCTTGCACAAATCACTGCAGCTCCCTTTGAGCTCTTGGGAGTCGACATTGCTTTGGCAATTAACACCCTTTGTGATCTGTTCCCTGGTTTGGTTTCATAACACAAACTGTGATAATAATTGCAGTGTTTCAGTCAAATAAACAAGCACAAGATCATCCTGCAACTGTTGAGGTACATCAGATACATGTCCCTAGTTGTCACGTAGTCAAAATGATTAAATACTGCACATGATTAAATGGATTTGCTTCTGTGCTTGTTCCTAGAAATGACTGCAGAATTCACAGATTTAATGTGAACAAAACAGAATATTTGTGAAAAAACATTATATATTTTTTCAGTGTATTCTTTCAATGCTTGTCTCTAAGGGTAGGTAATAAAAGTATACATCTATGTATCATCTAGTTGTCTGCACTTCCTTTAAAGTCAGTAGAAAAAGCAGGCACTTTGAGGAAATGATTCATCTTATCCTAAAGTACATGTCTAAAATTAATTAGACAGCTTGTGCCCTGAAAGTGCTTATTTTTCTCCACTGACTAGAAGAAGAGTTGATGATGATTAACTCTGATGTAGACACCTACATTTTATATCCCTAATGTTAACTGAGACAAATTTTACCCCAAGAACGTTGATCATGCAAATAGAGAAGAGAAATGATGTGATATGGCTTGCATTTTCTACAAAGATTAAATACAGTTCTGATTTTGAATCTGAAAATGTTTATGGTTATTGAGCACATATAATTTGCAAACCAGGAATTGCTAATGATTTAGGGGAAAAGTGCCTGTTTAGTGAAAACAGCTTTCTGTGAGCATCTCATAGTTTTGAATATCCAAAATTTATGTAGTCACCTTTTTCTCTTGAATACTTAAAGGTGCAGCTTGTGATCTATAAAATAGAATGTGAATCCTCACTATCCGATGAACTGCTTTTCTTTCTGATGTGCCACTGCACTTAGATAAATTTAGACAATGAACTTAAGTCCTTCATAACATGAAAAGGTACTTCTAGAGGAGCTCCCCAACCTCCAACATTTTCCTTCTCTATTCTTTATTAGCAGTGACTGGAGTCTTTTATTGAGATGAGACCTCAACCATCCCATACATATCATAGCAGGTATTGCCCTGAGCCACAGACTGAACAGATGAGTGCCAGTGAGTGCGGGAAGAATATTTTTCTTCTGTGGCAGAGAAGAGAAGTGAGGTAAAAGAACCAGAGAATCTACTCTGAAAGGGAAAAAGAGGACTGGGATTTTGATAGATGTGTGTTCCATAAATCTTTTGCTACAGAAGTTCATTAGGTCTGGGGACACCTTAAAACACCACGTGCCTCCTCATACACTTCTGAATTCATAACCAAAAGGCCAAGTTCTGTAGCAATACAGAGAGAGGGAAAAGCTGCATTGTCTAACATCTCCATTAGGAAGAATCAAAGTCCATAAGACAGGATGTGTACAGCAGAAGTGTTTGTGCTACTGTGCGGGCCTCCATAGCAAGCACAGTTCAGGGTTTTACTCTGGACTCTCCAACCTGCTCCCTGGACTGAACTCACAATGGGAACTAGTGCACAGCCAGAGTGTTTTTAGGCACCTTCTCATTTGGCATCATCCAAAACAAAACATATTCATATATTTAGAGGCCTCCCTTGATGTGATACACAGTACAATAAATGACCACAATTAGGAGATTAACTTCAACAAGCATGTTCCTGATGCAAACTAAGATGCTCGGTGTGCCTGTGGGTGCCTTTTCTAGAAAAGCCCCGAACACCTGTTGGCAGGTGGCAAATGCACATACAGAATGAGGCTGAGCTACGAGAACCATCTTCATTTCAAAAGGGAGGTCCTGAAGAGAGGGTGACACAGCCACAGGCACCTGTGGTGGCCCTGCCAAGGGAGCAGTAGGTTTGGCTCAGCTCTCCATCCCAACAGGCCACAGAACCTGCAGCAGGGCCAGGCCCCAAAGATGGGTCACATAAGCAGTGATACTCCATGAAAGTGCTGATGCTGCACGTAAGGGGGGACCCTGTGCATGGCCTTTGCATTACCTTAGGATGCTTTGATTCAAAACTGCACAGTGCCAGAAACCTGAGCAATTGGGACCAGATCCATTTTTTTTCTCATCATATAGTACTTCACTTAAATCTTCTAAATACTCACTTTTGCTCTATATTCCTACTCTGACTTCTTAACACCACATACACATTACACCTGGCTTTTGTTGTGGTGAGAGTTTAAGGTGACTTCATCTCCTCCACGGTGATTTAGGGAAGTAAACCTTGGGAAGGGTGAACTGTGTTTTGATGCCTTTGGGGAAGGATGAGTGCAGGGGAAAGGATGATGTGCTGAGTTTTGTGTATTGATTTGCATGTTTTAATTCAATGACCAAGGTGGCCAGCACCTAGAATTGGAGCTCTTTTAAACTCACTTGTGGAACTGAAGAAATTATTAAATAATCAACACTGTTCTGAAGAAGAATGAATAAGAAAATACAATATGCTCTCCAAATTATCGTTAACATGAAAAACAACAAAAGTGAATGTACTATCCAATACTCATGCTATTATTGAGTCCTTTGTTTCAGAAAATGTGGCAGCACAGAATCAAAGTGAAATACTCAGGCCATAAACCTATCAAGGTTGTTTAAGAATCTAATGCAACTTTTTTATTTTTTTTTCTCCAAAGTTTATTGTGTATGTGAGTGTATGTAAATCCACAAAAAGGTGGACTTTATAGTTAGATATTTATATTTAAATATATATATACATGAATCACATTAGGCTCTATTGAAAAGCATTCACATTATTAAATGCATTTACATATAAGAATCTGTAAGGAACAGGACATGAGGAGAATTTCAAGTCTATTATACTATTTAATCTATTATACTGCAATTAAGAAAAGGCCTTATTCTCACATCATCGATGTCTAGTGCTAATCAAAAGTAGCTAGAATTATACTGTTGACTTTAAATTACCATAAAAGCAGAGCCAAGGAGATTTGAATCAAA